GGGGGTCGTTAAACATAAAAAATTTTACCTCCGTTGAAAATTTTTTCAATGTACCTTGAAACAAAGCTGTTGCTATTAAAAATGGGAAAATAAAAGCATAGATAATCAAAAGCCGATTAACCAGGTATGCTACTATTTCTATGTTGTACTATTGTTTTATGGAAATTTGCACCTGTGTTAGCCTTTTCACACAATCATTTTAGGCCTTAAGACGATCTGAGCAGAGGAGCTGTTGTTAAATTTTTAAAAATAGAAAATAGGGTCGCCCATCAAAGTTTTCACCGTGATATACGAGGTGATGCCATGGTAACATGGAGTTAAGATCGTTGCTTCGGGAAACGTTTTTGCTTTTTTCAAAAATGAGAATTTGAATTTCGACCAAATATTTCATGGCTAAATACGTTTATGTGCAACCGATACCACAGATTGAGAAACTACAATAGTTGTGTTTTTTTCAAAATTTTGAGCTCAATACATTTGAACAGCTGGCCGACGAATGCTTTTCTTTCAGTGATGAATGAAGCTGGGGTACCTTTTAGTGACATTCTATTTGGTCGCTTTTAAGGACAAGCGGGCTAACCCAGATTTGGGGGTTTCCAGAAATCTTGACCTACACCAAAAGTGGGCTTTGCCCTACCTATAGGAGAAGTTTGGTTTCGTTAGTGTGTATCATTGTTTGGTTATAGAGATAAGTATCCTTGTCTTTTAATGAAACTGAACAAGGGGCAAAAACTTAACCTTTGATTTTTTTTTAAATTGATGGAGGCGTAGGGCTTTGTGTCAGAGTCAGAGACAGAGTTGATAAAATTATTTTGCACCATGACAAGGTTTCCAGCTAAAATCAAAGTAAAGGACACATCCCAACAAAGGTATTCTGTTTATTGACCACGTCGAATATTTCGGTTGATTATACAGCTCCGTTAATGGGTCATACCGAATAAAATGTATAGATGCTGCGTTGCATTGAATTGAATGCTTTCATGACTACAAACGGGTGCACAGGTTGGGCGTCATCAAGTCTACTAAAGTACACACCCCAGAAACACAAGACCTTAAATGTCATTTCAGTGTAGTAAAAGTTTTTAAAGTTGAGTGGGTAGTTGGTGGGTGCTCCAGTGTGGTTTGTTCCTTTTTCCTATCAAACATTTATCGTCCTTATCTCACCTTCTTTTTGTGATTGTTACCCTCTTGTAAGTGAAACACCTCTAATCTTCGGCACATATGTGTCCTATTGTGTTTAAATTTTGGTGTTGCTAGTGCCGTAAAAAACAATGTTACTGAAACGTTTTAGCCTGCCTATATCCCTGCCTATTGGTCTGTCAGTATCAATTAATTATTTTTTAAAAAAAGTTTTGGTCTCAGTACTTTTGAACACTCGGCCGACGAATGTTTTTTGTTGTTGTACTGTGATGAATGGAGCAGAGGATTCGTATCCCTGTTGTTGTTTGCTATTTTTCGTATATTACCTGTCTTCGTCGTCGTTGTTGTTCTCTTCATTGTTATCAGAACTGTTGTTGTTGTTGCTGTTGTTGTTGTTGTCGTTGTCGTCATCGTCGTCATCGTCGTCGTCGTCGTCGTCGTTGTTGTTGTTGTTTTTGTTGTTGTTGATGATGATGATTATGATGATGATGATGATGATGATGATGATGATGATGATGATGATGATGATGATGATGATGATGATGATGATGATGTAGAAGTTTCGTACATTTGTTTTCGTTCGTAGGCCTTACTCGTTTCGTATGCAATCTTAAAAAATTGTATTTGTTCTGTATGTGTCAGTGGACGAAGGAGCTGTGCGAGAAAGATTCTGACGGAGATGGGAGGACAAACGGGGATGAACTTGGTGACCCGGACTGTGAATGGATGTTACTTGGGGTACCATCTAGAACTGAGAGTATCACCAATCCCGGTGAGAGATTTGATGTTGTTGTTATTGCTGTTGTTGTTGTTGTTGCTGCTGTTGTTGGTGATGGTGGTGGTGGTGGTGGTGGTGCTGATGGTGTTGGTGTTGTTGTTGTTGTTGTTGTTGTTGTTGTTGTTGTTGTTGTTGTTGTTGTTGTTGGTGGTGGTGGTGCTGATGTTGGTGTTGTTTTTTATATTGATGTGGTTGCTGATGATGTTGCTGTTACTAGTATTGTTGTTCATAGTGTTGCTGTTATTGTTGTTG